ACGCTACTACTGCAAGTAGGCACGCGCACTCACTCACTCACTCACTCACTCACTCACTCACTCACTCACTCACTCACTCACCCACTCACTCACTCACTCACTCACTCACTCACTCACTCACTCCCAAGGCCCTGGTAAGTCTATGAGAATTATATATATATTTTTTAAATTTCGAATTCTACAAAGCTTTAAAATGACAATATTCAAAGGTTCAGAAACATTTATGTTATCGTGAACATATCCCTTGTTCCATTGTAAGAGTTTTGTTAATTTTATTTCTCCGTGTGGTTCAAGGCTTCACAATAATTATCCAATTTCTAGATAAAATAGAAGTAATTACAACAAATTAGAACAGATTATTGTTGATTATAAAATAAACAATGAAAATCCATTATTTGCTATGTCATCCGAAACCGGGATAATATTTTACCCGGATATTTACATTCATGCTTCAAGCATATGTTATGAATCAATATAATTCAAATCGGAAATTAGGCAATTACATATATTTATTTATAAAGACAAGTGATGTAAATTATTTTACTTAGCAGACATTAACAGACTCGCTACACAGTGTAATTGTTCCTATTTCATCATGCACCGTGGCATTATCTGCTCATGGCTATTAATGTATTACTGTTCCATTCTGGTAGCCTCGTCGTATGCCGTAAGTAATGTGTTTATTATTAACTTTCACAAAATAAACACGCGTAATTATTAGATGTTTTCAGAAATTTGATTAAGAGCTGTGGTCATAAAAAAGATTTACCTTAGAGTCCGATGAAATGCAATATTTTTAGTATATTATAGAGCAGCCTGCCAACAATCGCAAAAATGTGTTCCGATCATGGGATAGATTGATTCTTACCTACTTTCAAGAATGTGTAAATTCAAATAGAGTCGATGTTTATTTAAAATGTGTTTAATATACATTGACTTATAGGAGTTCATCTCAGTTGACGAAGAAGACATAGTCAGTTTGGCGTTAGGGTGACAATATCTTCGAAGGTAATTCTTAAAAAGTGTTTGCATATTTGCAATCGGCAACGCGTCGTTTGAGTAATTCTGTTAAATTATTTTTCCGTGCTTTTCTTTCGCAGCCGGAATGCCAGCTGGTCGTAATGGTCTTCATTGCGCACAAAAAGTTATTTTGTCGATTTCAATTGATAGAATAATTTAACCTTATTATGTGTTATTGACGTTTGGTGCCTTCTTCCAAGCACATAAATCAATGGTATATCTGATATGTTAGACAACTAAACATCCAATCACACGGTGAAATACAATTGATATTAGTAACTCTTAATACTTCCATGAATCCTATCCATGAAGTATCCATGTCCTAACAGTAGGTATAAAATCGTACA